GGGAGAGTTCGGAAAAGTTCGGAAAAGTTCGGAAGAGTTCGGGAGAGTTTGGAAGAGTTTGGGAGAGCTGCGAAGAGCTCGGGAGAATTCGGAAAGTTCGGAGTTCCGGAGAGTTCGGAAGTGCCCGGAAAAGTTCGAAAGAATTCGGAAGAGTTCGGAAGAGCTCGGAAGAGCTCGGAAGAGCTCGGAATACTTCGGAAGAGCTTCGAAGAGCTCGGAAGAGCTCGGACGTCCAATTTTTTGACAAACTGCTTCTGCTGCTGCTGCTGCTTTTGCTGCTGCAGGTGCTGGTGCTATTGGTACTACTGCTACTACCACTACCACGGCTACTGCTGCTGCTATACGACTACCTCGCGATACCGAGACTGGACCAACAGCCTCGCCCCTGCCTTGGCATGGATTCAGACGTTCGGATTCGGAAGAGCTCGGAAATCAATCTTTACACTTGAAACGATCCCACCTCTTTACGACTTGCCTTGCCATGCTACAACCTGTCACGTAATTCGTTCATGTTCAAAATCCTCGCATTCTGGCTTTTGAAACTCGTCGCGCCATCAGAATCTGTCGGCCAAGCGTGTTCAAAACAAGACTTCTCACCAGTTGGTCTGCCATTTCCGCATGTTCACAACAACGCTTCTTGAACAATTTCCATGCTAACGGCCAGCCCTCGGAATGCATAAGATAGCCTATTTCTCTCCCGAACACACCCTTGTATACCCTCATACAAAATCTAAAACAATTGTTGACCGGAAAATGAGCCCTGTGCCCAAAAGTTAACTTAAGCATTCGGCAAGCTGGCCAAATTATGACAGGAAATATAACAACAGCAATGGCAACAAAAAATGTGAAAGCACTCGTGCGCGAAAAAACTGCTAATGATCGTGGCACTGCTCAAATGCCATCATCATGCTCTGCTGCAGACAACCGCGAGTTGGTCCCGGCGCGAGAGCATGGAACTACAGGAATATCAAGACGACGTTGGCAACCCCCCACATAACCCCACCCAAACGCTTAGGACCGTATTATGTCACGTGATCCTGTCGGGTCGATTTAGGAGGCTGGGGCTACCAAAGTCCTCTTAGTGAAAGCCCTGACGAACCCCAAATAGCCTGCCTTGACAAAGTGAAAGCTCTGCTACCTGGTGTTTAGTGTCGGGATTAGAGGCATGGATCCACATTATTCCCCCTATCATGATCTATTCCCCCATGCCTTGCTAAGCAGCATAAACTCTGAACCCTAAACAATGGTAGCTTCCATGTCCTTTCCAATTCCCCCCATTCCTTACTAAGCACCGTGAGCCCTGAACCCTGTACAATATAGCAGTTTCCATTTCCGTGTACATTTTCCTAGGCCCTTTGATTGCCTTGTCCATGCCCCCTATCCGTTACTAATTACGCACTCCAAACTCTAAACCCTGCGCAAAATAATCTAGTAATTAGAAATGCCTTTCCATTCCAGTAAACCTATGAACCCCGAATACTACAGTAGTTCCATTTTCATTTCCCTTCCCAAAATTCTTCATTAAGCACCCCAGGGCCCTAGACCCTAAAATGCAAAGTGTGTCCATTTCCTTTTCCCCTTCCCCCAAGCTCTGAAAACCCAGAATACTATTGTAGATATAATGCTTAAGAAACCCTATATATAGCAGTGCCCATGTCGTTTTCCGCGTTTTTTCCATGTGATTCTCCATTATTGGGGTAATATCCCAGATTATGCGTACTATTGCACAGTAGTTCCTATGCCCTAAGCCCTTATACCCTAGTAGTTCCTTCACCCGAAGGTTGACAGCGCGAGCCTCCTGCAGCCTCCCAAGCTCCTGCTTTTGCCGTTCGAAGCGATCCTGAACCTGTCGCTGAAACGGGTCATGGAATATTTATTTTCATGATATCATATTATATTATATTATATTACATTATATATATATGCTGACATAAGGGTATATCTTGAAATTCATCATAATCCAGAATGTGCAGGGGGTCGTTCTTAGGGAGAGCACCACGATTGACTGCGGACAACTCAGCTACTGCATGCAGCGCCAGCTCCTCGGACAGCTCAGCCTCGCGCTCCTGGCATTGCCGAATCCAAAATGCTAGACATGTCTCTGCATATCCCCTAGAAACACCCAGTTTACATCTCATTTCCCATCTCGTAGAGGCAGCCGGCTGATTTGCTTCTGGTATGACTGATGCACAGAATCTTTTGCGTCCCTCAGTGAAGGGCGTAGAGCAGCATCACAATTTCCGAGGTTTCCGGTCTTCAGGGGATCAAGCAGGTTTTTGTCCATCCCCCATACGGTTTTCTGCCTTGTCGGCTTTGGGCCGGGACGTGCATCGGAAGAAAGCAAAAGAAGGGGCCCCCAATAAGACCCGAATATACTAAAGTCAGTTCCTGGTGTACATAGGGACCCCCGATCAACCCACGAATAAAGGTGTTGTACCTCACATTTTTGTATCTGTGCCTTTTTGTTGAGGGTCTAGCTTACTCTAGGTACCGCTTACCTTTTTAGCCTGAAACCAAGCTAAGGCCTCCAGCGACTGCAGCAGGGACTGTGTCTTTTCCATCTGCGCAGCCAGCTTTTCTCGCATCTCCTCATGATCATGAGGGGTAGGGTCGTAGTTGTCGTAGAAGTAGTAGCAGCAGTTGTAGTAGGGAGGAGGGAGGAGGGAGGAGTAGTGGTAGTCAGGGGAGGAGGAGGAGGAGGAGGAGAAGTAGCAGCAGTATAGCACCCGCAATAACAGTAATAACAATAGTACTCGTAAAGGAAAGTTCTCGCCACCTGGAGCTCCCGCTCAAGCAGCTGCTCTCTCTCTGTACTCCTGCGGGCAGCGACTTTTGGCAAGGACAAGCAACTGTCTCGAGCTATCGAAAACACGGCGTCCCTTCTACCAACTTGCATCTCAGCTCGCCCTGACATCTCGTTGCGAGATGCGGCCACTTTGGAGCCATGCTGGTATTGATGAACCTATGACTGGCTTGATGTTTTGTGAGACGCCTGCAACAGAGCCGCTAGACTTTGAGCAGCACGGCGGGTCGTCTCTGCAGCCAATCTGGCCCCTCAAGGAGGTCGCTGTACAACTGTAGAAATGTTATCATGCTTGCCAGATGCTATGAATCAGCCCTCAGTGCTTTTCAGCCTCTCATGCAGAGGGCAGCTGCTGGTCATTCACCTGGGTTCTTCTGCAACAGCCTTGAAAATGCAAAGGCCCGCATAATCACATGAGCCAGGAAACCATCCGCCACAGGACACCACCAGGACGTGACATAAGCTCCTGAAATTCAGCCAAGGGTAAGCTAGTGCCTGGGCCGCAATGACTTAGGACATAGACCTTCTAGTTCTATCAAGCATTGTACTGCCTGTAGTTCGTGAGCAATCTTTAGCCTGGAGATCCCTTCTACCTCCGGAACCCCACCTGCAGGGCTGCGTGGACTGCTAAATACACAGGTCAACGGACACCTGAGAGGGATGCCTAAGCCTGCTTCGCAGAGATAGAGTGATTGTGGAACGGAATACACTTTGGTGAATTTACCAGGATACCTCATGGGTGCCCTTCTCCGCCACAACTCCGTTCTCCAGAACAACGATCTGCTCAGCGTCCTGCCAGTCTCAGTCCGGATGTTCATCAAAAGCAAGAAGAATTATAATGCTGTGATGCTGTGCATCTTTCTGCAAAGCACGCGAAAAGTGTCCTTGACTGTGGAGAGACGATGCGCGATGACCTTGCACCCAGAATCAGGGGAGCTTGCAGCCTGTGGTACGCCACGCCCTTACTCTTCAGGGCTATGTGTCCAGCACGAGAAATTAGGTCAGGGAGCTAAGGAGCGCCCGCCTCGATGTTTACAGGCAAGCGAGTCTCAGGCACCAAGAGTGGCAAATTGAAATGGCAGCCCGTTGAAAGCAGCCACACTCGAAGGAGGGTACCGATACTTGCCAAGTAGGTATGCACTGCATGCACAGGTGCTGCTGCGCTGGTGAATCTAGTAAACATGTTTGCAGAGACCCCCTGCGTCCAAGCCACAATCACCGTCCTTCGCCGGCCCAAGCGCTTTGACCACTGTGCCTCCAGCCAGAAATGCCGAGCCGAAGCACTCCGAGAGAGACTGTCTTGGGCTAATCTCTGATTGCGCCGGGCTGTCCGATAGCTGACTGGCTGTGTCTAGATTTGGGCTACTACACCGCGACACCATGCAAGCCGCCAGCCTCTTTCAGCGCCAAGGACACTTGCCTACCGTGCTGTCAGATCAGCGCACGTGGCTTTTGCACGTGAAAAAGCTTCAGGTGCCCTGGTCTAGCCTGAAATCCATCATGCTTGCGTATTCTGGGCCAGACGGGGCTGTTTTTTGCATCTTGAAGCTGCGAGCCTGCTGGTTGATGGGTCCAGCGCCGAGGTGGGCCTTGGCTTGGATGCTTGGATGCTCCAGGTACCACACGCGCAACTTGCCGAAACCGTCGAAATTCCGAATCATGTAATCCGGGTGAGGCTCACTACAGCCGTCCCTCAACACTCGGAATCCGTGCATGCAGTAGGGTAAACACTCGGCGACGGCACCCCGAGCCGCCCAAAACGAAGTGTCCCCAATCCCTCCTTGTGTCCAAAAGGCTCATCCAGTATCAACACGGGTGGGTCGCGCAGTAGCGCGCGGGCAATGGCCAGCCGCTGACGTTGTCCTCTGCCATAAAGCTTTGGCAATGTCATCGCGCTGCTACTTGGCAGCATCCCCGGGAGTTGTCGGAGCCATCAATCAAATCAAGCGCGGAGCCTCCCGACAGCAGCTTCCCATCTGCCATCTCCGTGTCATAGCCGCGAGGCAAACCTTGTCAGCACCATGACAGGCCGGCGACAAAGCCCTTGGTCTGCCGAGGGACTGGTGATGAACTCGTGGCAGTGTGCGGTTCGGGCGGCCTGAAGGCGAGTTTGAAGGACCGGCTGTGACATCCCAACGCTGATCGCCGACCTCTTCCAGCTTTTCACGCTTGGCTGCACCCAACCCCCAGGCAAGGTTCTCGGCCACGGAGCCCCTGAAGAAACGAGGCTCCTCAGCGCAGCAATGCTTCGAATCCCTCACGAGAAAACAAGCCCCGGGCCTGGCCCACGATGCCCAGCTGACCTCGCAGCCATTCCTCGTCCAGGTCCTGAGAATCATACGGAGCTGTCGAAATGAATCGGACTGCTGCATGCTTCTAACAGTTCCTCCAACGACACGCCGTCGATCAGAACCTGCTCGCCGAGCAATCGCATGCGGGGACGAAAGCTTAAGATCACTGCCTGGCCGCTTTGTACATGGTAGAAGCCCTGGATCAGGTTGATGAGGGAGCTCCTGACGGGATGGGATCTGAGACATGATCCTGGGTAATGAGCCCAGTCCATCTATCTACGTACGTATATCTATGACAGGCAGTAGAGTTTTCCCCACCTGGCCCATGTCAGAAAACCACATCCGCAGACCGCTGTACATGATCCCGGTTCGCAGTTCGCGAAACCCCCCGCCCACCTTGCCATGGCATCACCCCCACCTGCCTCCGGTATGCTTCTTTTAGCCAACTCTGAATTCAAGCCGCAAGACCTGACCACAGGCCACAGGACCCTTGGCAGATGAACTTGAAGTCTAGAAGATAGCCAGCACATCATGTGGGGGATGTTCCCAACCCCAAAGCCCCAACCACACCACAGGGGGGGGCTGGAATTCTCTATTTCCTGCGAGTCCTATCCGGAAACCGCCAGCATCCACCAGCTACACCGCAGGATGGAGGGGAGGGCCGGGCGCCCATCATGTGTCCCCATAAATTGGTCGAGCCAAGCTTCTTTCCAGAGCCACTTGTCCCGACCAAGGCTGTTGTCTCGCCTGCCGGATTCACGGTCCACAATGGACCAAGACCTCTATCCTGGAGAAGCCAACAGCAAAGATACGAACGCCAATAGCAGGAAGACTGGTTCTAAAAGCCACATAATCCTACCCATGTTTTTCTGGAAAGACAAGAAATTCACATTCCAGAGCTCTCCAGCCTGCTCGGCAATGGATGGTCACATCCTGCAAGTCACATACTGCTGGAAGGCCAAAGCTCCGAATCATCCCCGGGCAGGCAGTGTCATCATCTTCTTCTGTCCACTGCACTTACACCGACAAATCAACGTGATAAGGCTATTCCTCTGAGGCTTGATGCTGCAGGCGGCCTTCAAGACCTGCCTCTCTGGCCGTCCAGGGTAAGAGAAGGTAACACCCTCGAATCGCACTTCCTGAGATGTTCTACCTGCTGATGCCAGAACCCGAAGCTGTCTTGAAAGTGCGAACTTCCGAATCTCGCTGCAATCGAGTTGCCCCAGACACGGACCTAGGATGCCAAGTGGACTAGAGATGGCTACCCCACACCGACAACCCGACGCGCCTACGAAAGCGATTTGACTGTGAAGATTGCCAGGCCGCTCCAGCTGGCGCCCCTGGCCCTTTCGCAGCTTCTTGGCTTCCAGAGTGCGAAGAACGGCCTTAGGATAGACTGAGAGCTTCCAACCATTGGGGGTCTCTTGGCGGATGCCAATGAGGAGGATTCTGCCATACTGGGGTTATCTTACCTGTATTCTTCTTGCACAGAAGCCACGGAGGTAAATTGCGAAACATGGGCCTCATCTATGTAGGTAGGCGATTATAAGAGGCCGTAATTACGATATGTCCTGGCTGTAGTTACTGTCATGATATAGACGATTATCTAGGAAACATTTTAGAGCTCCGCTACCCCAGGCCCCTTGAGTATCAGGACTACTGATACTTGAAAGGAGTCCCGAGCCTCGGATGCCCCCAAGGCTTCCATGGCAGTCGACCAGTCCTCTTTCCCAGAGGCAATTTTTCCAAGGTCATGAACCCCAAGCAATCACGGCCCCCAGTGTCCTCACCTAGGTCCAATGCACCTGTGGAACAAAGGTCTTGGACAACTTCTGCATCATCCAAAAGCCCAACAATCAAATGTCCCTGTCACCTCGAACGACCATGTCCAAGTAGAGCAGGAATTGCCTGGGGTGCTGTTCTGGTGTCTCAGCCCGCCACAAGTTTGCAAGACTTGCTTGCTGGATCAGCCAAGTTGCGTCAGGATCTCTCCGTTGAGCCTCGCTTGTGATACAGGGGTTCCCTCCTGGCTGAATAGGAGCAGAAACCTCTGTTCAACACTTTGCGGACACAAAATGCGATGTTATAATTTGTACTTCGGACGCTGCGGCAGATGTCTTGCATTACCTTCCAGCATTTGCTGCACTACCCAGGTGCTTTCTTGATCTGCTTGTCCGCTTGGGAACTGTCATGTTTCTGTTGGAACATAGGCCTGACCGTACATTAGTGTGAAAAGTGCAGAGGCTGTGCAGCCACTCGCACACCGTTACCCTACCTTTTCATATGTAGCAGCGCGGTCTTGCAAGCATGAACGGCACATGTTGGTGGGGGGCCCAATGTGCTGTTACCGTAGTAGCTGCTACTACTACACCGTAACGAGATCAGTATGATCCACGTCGACGTGCGTATGGATCGAATTTCTGGTCTATCCTCGACTTCCAACCTCGTGTGACATGCCATTTCAAGTACAGGACAGGTGGCTGCTCGCATTCAGCTGGCTGGTCGCAACACTTGCAGAGATGACAGATGTTGATACGCTGCAAATCCATGGTCAAAATTCTCGACACAGTGGTAATACTAGTGTACATACTGCTGCAGTACTAAGACTGACGACGACACTAAGAAATACTGACAGAAATATTTGTTTCTAGTGCTTACAGTAGGACATGAGTCGGACCAACAGGAAGGCAAAGATCCTCATACCTGACAGACGCAAACCACAAGTACCAGATGGGGCAATACACTAACTAATTTGTGAGGCTTGAACAAGCTATATCAAGTACCAGACCAACTTCTAGCTTGAGTACGCATGTTCCTACAAATCCCAAGAAGTTTCTATGGTCGGCAAGGGTCAGAAGCATGCCTGAGAGCTACAGGGTACATGATCAGGCACCGGCTGCAAGTGGCTAAGAACATATAATCATACAACTGCATTGGCCTCAACCTGAAGACCCCTCGCTCGTCAATGTATCTTTGTCAAGGCACCGGTCGTGAGGGGAAAGCACCAACGAGCCGCCCACAACCAGAGTCATGGCTCTGGAAATGCCTCGCTAGAACGCAGCTTTTGGAAGGCGATGCGAAGTCCTTCGATGGGAATACTGCGACACGAAATCCCAAGCTGTCGCCGGGGAGCCACTCAGCGAGACATTTGCCAAGCCGAAGAAGCCAGAGGCATAACCTAAAAGCAAACACTTGTAGAAGCTATACTTGTGGCTGTTCGCTTGGTTGCTCAATTGCATCCAATGTAGCAAGCCATGTGTGGTGCTTTGTTAGTAAGCGGGTGCCGCACTGTTGCGCTGCTGGATGGATAGGATCTTGTCATTCTGCTCTGCAAAGAGCTGGCGGTGCGTGTCCTCCAGACATCAGCATCTTAGCACCATGTCTTGGGTGCCTCTCAGCATCGCCTCTGCGCCGAGCGCGCGGACTGTAGCTAGGCCCCCAAGACCCTCATCAGCAACGCGGCTGAGCTCTGCGATCGCATCCTTCAACCGAGCTTCCCATGAAGGAGGGCACGACAAAGTCAAAGTGACAATCACAGCATCACAGCTAGATCCTCCATGAGGCTAACGTTCACTACTCATGAGCCAGGTTATCCGCAAGAGTCTGAAACGAGGAAAAAATCCCAACACAGCACTCCTAAAGCACTCCTGCCTGCGTTTCAGCCGTGGTGCGCCGGCGGACCTGCAGAGTGATTGGGGTCCGTTGCAACATCTGGCAGCTCAGTTCCCTGCCACCCCTGCCGCCGGCCTCAGAGTACCTTAGTGATCGGTCTGTCGGTCTCGGTCTCTTCGCGGGAAAAGCTTGGTACAAGTATCTCTGGGTCTCTCTAGGCCTGTTGGCATGGAACTGTCTAGCATCGTCGCAGCGTCCGCATCGTTTTCATGCCCAGGCACCGGCGCGTTGAGGCCGCGAGGCCGAGCAAAGCACCAGCAGAGAGCAAAGCCAGGCGCGGGGAAGCACGGACCAGCGCCACAGAACCTCGGCTGCATCCCGAAACGAGGGCTTCCTGGATCACTTGAAGCCCAAGGAGCCCAGAAAGGTGGCGCTGCTGGACCGCAGGAGGAAGTTTAAGACGTCATCCAAGCTGGCAAAGACCTTGACAGAAAGTTCTTCACTTTGGTGATTGAAAAACCCTTGAATCTATCTGCGGGCCGCGCCATCTGGCAGTCTGAAGTCAGGCGAGATGTGAGCTCTGCAGCATCCACCTATCAGTATGGTTACTTGTTGTATTATGCTTCCTGGTTGTGTGCGGCATCCTGTTTTCAGGCCCTTTCTCACGCACCTTGTCAAAGAAGGCCATATCCTGCGACCTTGCAAAACCATGTGCTGAAGGCCAATGAACTGATGCTTTTACTCTTCCTGTCATGATTATTATTAGTACTAGTACCAGTACCATATTAGTAGTAGTAGTAGTACTACTACTACTACTACTACGACGACCACTACGACTACGACTACGACTACTACTGCTGCTACCACCACCACCACCACCACCACCACCACCACCACGACTACTACCGGTTAGTAGTAGTAGTAGTAGTAGTAGTCGTCGTCGTCGTCGTCGTCGTCGTCGTCGTCGCTGTTGTGATACTGATACCTACACACCATGCCTATGGGCCGATGACCTGCAGACTCCAAATGCCGAGGTGCATGTAATAGCTGAAGCAGCGGTTGCGGAGGCGACTCACAAAGCCTGGGCACCAATGCTCTGTGCGCCATCACGGTTGATGGACGAAGTCTTGGATCCAAGGATTGATGGGATTCAGAGTGATGCAGGATTTCCTCCATCAATGAAGTCAGGCTGTCAGTTGCAGGCCATGATGATAGCGTTGTCTAGCAACAGCTGAACGGGTGACAACTCCATGTCAGTTTCCTGGTAGCATGTTGTCTGAGCTTACTCCTGTTTTCCTCTCCTCTTTGTCTTGCACTACTGTTGTTGGGAAGTTGTGATGAAACAATTCGTGGGGAGCCACTATTGGCCAACCTCAGTCTCGCATCCTGCTTGCCGGCTAGCAGCGCACACGCGCCATGTGAAATGCAAATGCACGCAGGCCATTGAGCACCGCAAGCGCCAACGCCTTGATGGGACGAAGCATTCGCGGACGGAAACGCAACAGGCTTCAGGGGCCCGGCAACGCAGGCAAGGAGGCTCACCTCAGGCCGGCCGTGGCTTGAAAAGAGCTAATTTACTGTATGCTTTCAGCGCAGCGGCCTTTCCGGACAACACGGCAGCTTCCTCAGCAGTTACACCGAAGCAAACCTTCAGATCTCCCGGAGCCTTCTTCCTACAGCCAAGGTACACCGGCTGTGGCAGCAAACAGTGCCTGACAAATGGCGTCACCGATTCATTATGCAAGAGACACTATGTGCTTGCTGCTAAGTAGCTGATACACGGCATTATGCATTTTCCCGCCCCTAGCATCCCCTAGCTAGTACCCTAAATCAAGTTTCCATGCTGCTCACCAGCCTGAGCTACCAGAGGTGGTGCTGCCAGCTGCGTGAGCGCCGCGCCGAGGAGCATGCAAATGCCAAACAGGAGCCTTTAGCAGGTTCAGGGTGCAAGTCTATTGCCCTGCTCTTCCGCTCCCTCCGGCCATCGTCGGTCTGTCGGTGAAAGCAGCCCAGCAATTTGTGCCGCCGCTGCCCGGGGCTGCGCAGCCCTGAAGGCTCCATACACTTCAAGAGCGGCAAGTGTGCTGCCTGCATCCGTGGCCCAAAGTGAAAATGCTTCCAGCGGCCTTCGACAGGTTCTGGTACCGCGGCAAAGTCGGTCCAGCTGACAGCTTGCAGGCGCAGATTTGGCAGCCAGCCTTCACAAGCGGCTCGCCAGATGCTTTGATTCTCGGACATGTTGTCAACTTAATTTGCTTGTCTTCTGGTTTCCCAAAAAGTTGCATCGGTCTCGCCAGGGGAAAATTTACGGACTCAGAGTCAAGGCACCAAGATTGCCTCATTTGCGGAGGCACTGGCGCAGGCGCGAGATGCGGCACGCCTTGCAGGGGAAGTCTCTCGTGGCAAGGGTCAGAAAAACGCTACAGGCACCCAACTGAACCCTCCATGTACATTCCACTTGACTTGAAGCCCTGCTTTTGTCATGAATTATGTGGCATCTTCTGCCTTCTGAGCGCAGGTAGAGACCTGGCCTGGCACGAAGAGCAGAGGAGGCAAGGCCTTTGGCCGCAACAACGTGACCACACGCCAGAAGCCGTAGCCCGCTGCGGCGCAGAGAGCGATCCTGCATTTGGATTGTTTAGTGCATCTTTCTAGCGCTCAGGCTTTGGAGTATTGCTAAAAGTCCGCCGAGGCCGGAGGCCTGGGGCGTCTAGATCGGGAAGTGGAGACTAGGAGTTATCCTCCCCTGTCACCCTGCCCCCCCCCAGCAGCTGCCATTCGCGGGGTGTGGGATCCGCAGTTGTTCTTTTTTGTTTTTTCATTTTTTGGTGGTGAAAGGTAGATTGGGCCGGTCTCCTCCACCCCTGCCGAGGCGGTCACGCGTTGGCAATTGAATTATGACTCTGTTGACGCTTCTGGCTCTTTGTGCTCTTTCATGCCGAAAGGATACGTAGTTCTGTGGACTCGCGCTTCTTCCGGATCATGAAATGACTAGCTCCACTTGCAATCTAACAGAGTAGATTCATATGTACATTCGTGTCATCTCTTGTCTATTTTCACTGAAACCCTTTCGTTCAGTCAGACCTGGCCCAAGGAGTTCTGGGTCGCAGGCGCCGCCTCGGGGCACGCACCAAAACTAGCTGGGTGGCACATTCGAAATGAAAGGTGGCTAGGTCTCCTTTATATACACAAAGAAGGGGAATTGATGATTATTCCAAATTACCGGAGACTCAGGTTCCTTGAAGGCTTGGCCCACGTAGCTTGGAAACAGTTCCAGGGACAAGAAAATCCAAGCCTGAGCCAACTGAATCGCGAGCCACCCGAATACAGCTCCTGAGCTTGGTCATCCACGGAGCAGATGACATCATGATGAGCTACATGTCACTACGTGCATCAAAGCTGCCCGAGCAAAGGCCACTGAGCCTGCGGATATCAGGATTGCAGCGCCTCGGGTCAGCCATACCGAAGTATAAGGTTTCTGGGTGCTGGTAGACTTCCGCACCGTAAACCCAGAACAACCCGGCAGTCTTTAAGAACTTCTGCGTTGACCAAAAACAAGATATCTGCTGAACACCGCATCCCAGCATCAGATGGTAATGGTTCGTTGTGTGTAGAACGGTGACATGTGGAATAGGTCCAGAAGAATCTCCTAAGATCACAGAAATGTCAGAATCTCTCCAACTGAGCACCCTTTCGCGATAATGATTCGATACAAATGTTCAAGTTCAAGCTTCAGATTGCCCTGCTTCCATGCATGTCCTATAATGGTTTCAGGAATTGCTTCCTACATGTCACGGGATGGTATGAGGCCACAGGGGCGTCGCTTTGCAGCCCCAAGCGTCAATGACAATGAGCACGATAACAATCCATTCCTGAGTGACCAGCCGGTTTCATTGCTCAATCCAGGTTCAAAGATCACGTGATAGGTCAGTTGTGTTATAAAGCAGCCAGGATGCCAGCTTGTTGGAGTGCTTCACCTGTTACATGCGTGCCCCTGAAAACACAGACTTGCAGGCACCTCACCGACCGCCCGGGAGGCCCCGCATGGCACAGCTCCACCAAATCTTGCCATGAGCCAGGCCTCAAGCTGAGTCTGGAGAAAGCCTGCAGCGGCATGAAGACTTCCGGAAAGTGACGTCCATTGCGACAGCCACAAAGGTCAGCCGAGCAGCTGTAGAGATCATTCAGGACGGCCAAGCGCTGGTCTAGAATCTCAACCTGGGATTGCAAGGAAGTAATTTCAAGCCACAAAGTTGACTTTTGAAAAGGCGCATGCTAAGCTGTAACATCGTGAGGTCGTGTACTGCATTGCCCATACTCAACATCGGCAGTCCATGCCAGTGCAGCAGGACGAAATTCGCGAGGTCGCTGATCAATTCCCGCACAGACGAAATTCGAAACTACCCCTGAATGTGAGAGAAGGTCGAGTTGGCAGCGCTGTTGCGCAGAACGTTCATAGGCATTATTTGCAGGAAAGCCACGCGCTTCCCAACTTCCAAGTACTTGCGGCAAGAATCATACTGCCTGCGAAGCACACAGCCGAACATCTCCTATGGCTACTTTGATTTTTTCTTGCGTCAAGCTGCGCATCAAATCGATCATGCTCCCACAAGATCTCCTGGGCAGTTGCCAAGCTTGTCTGCGCGAAGATCTCACACCCATACCATAATTGGGGGGTGTCCACAATATATTAGACATTATGTTAGACATAAGTTGGGGGGCCCCGATTTAGAATAGGGACTACCCAGAAACCGCTCGGAAATCCTCACATGTAGTCTTTAATTGCATGCCCAGGGGCTGGGGTTCCCAGCATATCGCTCTGGAGGGTCATCGAGCACTTCGTGACAAAAATTGCACCCATCTGCCTTGTAGGTTCATGGCTCAATGAAGTCCGTTTGCCTTCCTGTCCACTGAGTGCTGGGCATCTTCACCAATTTCTCGTCCAAGTCGAAGGTGCCGTGCTGCGCCAGAGCTTCTGGAATTGGCTTGGCCTGACGGAGCAAGCCGCAGCTCCGTTCCCAGCCCTTTGTGCCAGTCGTGCCTCAACAAGTGCTGCGTCAACGATCTTCTCGAAGACTGCCAACTTCACGCTCTGGGCAAAAGCATAGCCTGCTAGGGCTCACACCAATTCCTGGCTTGGACCTAGCCTCATCGATCTGAAGTCCCGGCTGTAGGCCAAAGCCTCATCACCCCGGCAGGTCGCCAGCACGATGTGGTCGCCACCTCAGCCGCGCAAGTTGGCCTTCACAATGCTTCATCGCAGACTATGCCCCTTTTTTCTTCCAAGGAGCTGAGCTTCGGAGGCACTGTCAAGTCTGGCACAGATGCTGCATCGCGAAACCTGGCAACAACGACTTGAGATCAGAACTACAGTAATTAGAGCTCGTGGGCTAACTTTGACAATTATGCGCGTCGTGTTTTCTGATAAAGCACAAAAGCCTTTCGAACTGATCGAAGTTGTTCATCGGTTCGTCATCATTGCCCTGCACTGACGCTGGAGCCAGGCTGGGTAGTTGAATCAAGTTTATACTCTTCGTATGAAGTAGTGTAACCACAAGTAACACAAAATATTGATCTTTTGTTGGGACATAATACCCTCAGTAGAAATTGTACTACCCACCTGGTTCCAGCCTGCTCTGTGCTGCATTCCTCCATGGTGTAGGTCATGCTGTCCACCTCCACATCTTCCGGCGGAAGACACTCACCTTGGGGTTCATTTTGTGGTGGCTGAACCAAGTTCAAGTCATATCCTTCTTGTGAAATACCCTTCTATATTGGGGACTCGAGTATCCCCATCGAAAATGCTACTCACCTCTCAAATCCCAACCATTTCGGACACCTCCATGGGAGCGTGGCACGAGGAGCAGCTTTGCAAACACTGAGCTCCTGACATCCAGATCGACGCACCAACCGACGGAGACGCCGCACCTGGGCAGAGGAGTGGCAACGCCAGGTGCTGTCATCAGCACATCAAGCAAAAGCAAAAGGCACCTCTGTGAATTCCAGGCCCCAGCCTGCAGCTCAAAAAGAAACTTCTGTACTGTAAAGCTGATTGTGTGAAGGCTGTGCTGTAGGGGAGCAGCCGCTTCTTCTCGCATCTCTCTGCCACCCACGCTCCCTCCCATCAAAAGCCGGCTTAGCCAACAAAGGTGTAAGTGCAGGCGCCTGTACAAGTTTAGCATGCGACTGCCTACACCTTCAGTGGCCAGCATGTGAAGCTGCGGATGGCTCTCTGGTTTACGGCAGTGGGGAGGCCTGTACATCTAGAATTCGACGCGTCAGGCAGAGGTGGTAGCCAATGGCAAGCAGGCTCCAAGGCGTTGTGGCAGTGGCTTGGAGCTGCTGCGCTGCCGTAACCGGCTGGAGCTTGATGTAAAGGACACCTCTGAGGCAACAAAGGATCCGAGGCTCAGTGTCTCATCGTCCTGCGGAGTCTCACAGCTGGTGGCAGAAGTGTCTGGCAAGGAGTCCTCGCAGGCCTCCTCTGAATCCTTGCCGCGGCAACGGACCGCCATCATCACGACGCTGCAGAGCATGCAACCAGCACCAAGCAACTTCAGAGGCTTCGGGGCCTCACTGAAGAGGGCGGTCTGCGCTACATAGCCCGTAATCATGCTTGAGGACGTGAAGACTGTAGCACTCACCGCAGCTGGACATCTTGTGGCGCCTGCAGCAGGTAGCAAGATGGAGACCAAGACCCAGACTGTCAGAATGACCAGAAGACCCAGGACTTGCCAGGGCCTCTCTACCATTTCCTCAACAGACTCTGTCGCTCCGACATGGCAGATGGGTGGCAAGAACGCTGCAGGCACTGCGAAAACTAGCGAGGCAAAGGCCAGTTGGGTTGCAGGGATATGAGTCGACTTGCGAGCACAAATGAACGAACAAGCTTGGAAGCAACCAGAAAGCATTGCCATGCAGTAGCCAACAGGGGACCGCTCCCCCTCTACGTTGCCAAATAGAAAGTGAGGCTGCGATATACAAAGGGCACCCGTGACTGACAGAATCAAGGCAAGGAAGTGGAAGATGCTGACCCTCTCCTTACAAATTGCGGTGGTACCTTTTGAAAAAGATTGGTTTCAGGTATGCATAGCAATAAACAATGTTGTTCAGCAACAACCCAGTCTCCCCCAGAAACACCAGTCCCAAAAGCGCCGCAGCGATGATGTCAATGCTTGTTAGCGCCGCTACGTCGCCTGCATTAGGCTGCTTGTGTGAGCAGGGGTATGTTTGGGCATTGGGTGCCAAGTGGGTATGGAATTTCGGTAGATAAGCTCAGACGGCTTCTGAGGACTTATAGGAGGTCCTGGGGCAGCACCGACGAGGACCGACAGCATGGCTAGCATCCAGTGCAAGTTCTCGAACAAAGCCCGCGCCAGCACCCATTTCATGTCCACCGACCTTGGCAAATCAGTGCCTCGGCACAACCAGAACAGGCCAATGAAGGAGGCGGCCACGGCACAACAAACTGCCAGCAGGTACCAGAAAGGCAAGCGCATGATGTCCTGGATGACTTTGGTTGTAACCATTTCGCAGGTGACAGAAATGCCGGATGCTAGCATAAGCGAAATCCCGATCACCTCCGCGGAGCAGATCATGGCAGGGCCCAACTACTTCGAACCTCCCGGCCAGGTGCCCGAGCCGCATGCAACACTCGGGAGTAACATTTCCAAGGCCGCTGAGCAAAGGCTTACTGAAGCTGAACCCACAGGTCATTTGACATCTCCATGGCATTTCACGGCTACTTGTGCACATGACTACAGTACCTTCAAAACACCGCATCCTCCGGCAGGTTCCGCACAGATTGCAAGACCCCTGCAATTGTCAAGACGAGCTGCAAACCAGGCAGCCAAAGCCAAAGACGAAGCACAGTCGACCGTCCTGAAGGGAGTGGGATGGGTTGGCTCTCAGCCTTTTGACAGCGAGTAAAAAACAGTCTTATCCAGCTTTGACAGCCGCTCCTCCAGCTCCATCACACAAACATCAGCAGATAACCTTCGATACCTTGCCGAAGGTACGGTGCCTCCAAGCAAGGGCTCCAGCGCGAGGCTGAGAGGATTCAGGGTATTTCCTCACTTATGAGATCTAGCGTTCTGTATATAGATATGTAATTGTATACGTGCATGTATATAAATGTGTACATAGTGTGAGGATAATAAGGAGAGGATGGGGCCTAATCAGCGGTTATGTGTGTAGGTATTCTGTCGGGCCTTGTTCTGCTGCAGCAATCCAGGCGGCACAGATTCTCTCCAGATCCAGGTCCTAGGCAAAGGAAAGAGATGGGGGGCTTCCCAGAACATGGGGACCATTGGGAATTTAGGTATCTATCAGCAATTTCAGGGCCCCTGCAGGATTCTACAAGGACGATTTTCAGGAATACCAGGGGTCACCCCAGAAAAAAGGATTCTACAGATCATTTCCAGACATACGCACAGTGCCTAAACCTTTAAACCCTATACCTTAACTGTGAGCAGGGCCAACTCGTTCCTGAGTCTCTTCCAAAGGCCCGGACGTCGGCGAGACAAACCGCGTAGCAGCGCTGTCTGCCCTCGGCCTCAGCCTGACACAAGCTATCCGGGTTCCTTTACAGGGGCTTTTGGGCGTATGTAAGGACTATGTGGCATGGACTAATCTGTATAATGTGATAATTGGTTTTGTGCATAAGGCAAAATGCTGTATATGCCTGAATTTCTAAAATTTCAAAAGTTTCCGCCTTCTTAAAAAAAGTCTTTGAAATTGTTGAACTTTGTAAAAAAACTATTTTCGATTTTTCGAAATTTCAGGAATTCTTATGAATTTTACGAGCTTGAGAAACTTGCGAGCCTTCGGCCCCCCCAGTTCTCGGAATTCTAGAATTAAAAACCTTAAGCATTTTGCAAATAGCGGAATTTCCAAAATTCCGAAAGTTCTGAAATTGGGAGAGCTCTCTTTTTCTTTATTCAAAATTGAGAAGCCCTCCTATTATTTAAGATATAGGGATTATTTTTTTTCGTATTCACAGACGGAGGAGATCTTTTTTTACATTTCAACAAATGGAGGAGCTCTCTTGTTTTCATTGAACGACAGAAGAAGTTTCCGATTCCTTATTAACAAATTGAAGAGGTCTTGTATTCTTTATTAGAAAATGGAGAAGATGTCTTCTTTTTATTAAAACATAGAGGATTTGTCCTATTCCTTATTAACGGACAGAGGAGGTCACTTTGTCTTGATGAGAAAATGGAAGAGCTT